GGAGGGGCAGCGTCCAGGGGCAGAGTCCAGCGCCCAGAGCAGGCTGTCTCCGCAGCTCGGCTCTGGTTCTCGTCCTCCGCCTCGCCCCCTGTGGGGGCAGCGCGGGAGCGCGGGGTCCCTCGCGCTGCGCGCTGCGCGCGTCGTGCTTCGCGCAGGGCGCGAGGCGCGAGATTGGGTGCCCCTGCAGGGAGCGCCAGGGCCGGGTCCCTGGGGGCGCTCTGGACAGGCGGGGGGGGGGAGCGCATCGGAAGAGAAGCATCCGGACGTTCAGGGGGAACTCGGGGATGCACCCCCAGAGGGGCTATTCGGACGCCCCTCCCTTCCCCTCCCTTCCCCTCCCCTTCCCCCAGATGCTTGCCGCCCCCTCCCCTCCCCCCCTCTCCCGCCCCTCCCTTCCCCTCCTCCCCCCGAGCCATTCCGCTGGTGTACATACGCGCACCGATATACCGCAAGTTGTGTTCGCCACGCTCGGCGGAGAGAACACGGCGGGAGGCAGTTGTGGGCCGCCGCGTGGTGCCGAAAAAAAGGAGGGGCTATTCGGACGCTGGACCGACATCGCGCGCTCGCCTTGCCTCGCTGCCGAGGACGCGGACGCCCCCCCATCGTATAGCTCCGAGTCCGGCTTCCATGCTGTCCGGTCGAGTGTCCAACAAAACGTCGGGGGCTGGGGTCGCCGTTTGCCTGACGTGGTGTTGCGCGCCAGATCTGTCGCTGCAGCGTCTTGCGAACGATAGCGCCGCGTCTGGTAGCCATGAGTGGTTTCGGATGTTCCGCCCTGGCTGGCGCCGCCGAGAGAATTCATGCTTCGTGTGTTGTTTGATTGATTGAGGGTTTGTCGTAGAATACACGCCACGTCGGCTATGGGATTGGAAGCTCGCGCCGCGCCGCCGGCGCGCCGGCGATGCGGCGCGCGACGGGGAGCTCGGCGTGCTCCGTGCCGACGTCGCCGGTGCATCTGTCCGCGAGCGCAGGATCTGGGGGCTCTCCCGCCCCAGACCCCCTCGCGTCGTAAAAAACAGCGAAAAACGCTGGGTTTTTGGAAGATGTCGGTCTCGTGAGGGCCCTGCCCTTGCACACGGGGCCCCGAGGCCGTCAAAGACGACTCGGAGTGGAGAGCCGGTTCCAGAGGAGGGGTCCAGACCCCTGCGAAATGTGATTGTTCCGTGCTATACCTCTGCCCTTCTTCTTCCCCTCCCTCTCCCCCTCTTGTTTCAATTTGGTTTGCTTCTTTCAATCTTAGCTGTGCTCGCATGGCGGATTTCTCGTCACTGCTCACTGTTCACTCGTCCGCGTCGGCCAGACGTAACGGAGACCCTTCGCCAGAGTGACCTTTGGTATGCGCGCGGCTTTCGAGGGGCGCGGCCAGGGGGGCGGGGTGCGAACCCAACCCTGCCCCGCAGGCCTCGTTTCGCATGCCAACGATCGGCAAACCGCGTGCCGAAGGTCACTCTTGCCCAGGGTGGCTCTTGCGTGTAGCCGCCCCTTCCCTAGCCATCCCCGTCAGTTTTGCACTCATCTACACCTCTGGGTGCAATCCCGCGCTCCTCCCCCGTCCCTTCCTCCCCCTCCTCCTCCTCCTCCTCCTCCTCCTCCTCCTCCTCCTCCTCCTCCTCCTCCTCATTGCCCCTCGCTCCTCAGGAGCCGCTCGCTCCACCTGCTGATCCTCCTCCTCCTCCTCCTCCTCCTCCTCCTCGCTCCTCGCTGATCCTCGCTCCCCTCCTCCTCCTCCTCCTCCTCCTCCTCCTCCTCTTCCTCCTCCTCCTCCTCCTTCCTCCTCCTCCTCCTCCTCCTCCTCCTCCTCCTCCTCCCTCTTCGCACCGAAGTTCCGCTGGCACGCTCGGCATTCACAGAGAGACTGCAATCCCTCCAGAGGTCCCAGAAGTGTAAAAGCGTGCAGGCAAATCCTGCCCACGATCCTCGGTCCTCGATGCCTCGTCCTTGGGCCAGGGCGGGCGATGCCGCGACCCCCTCGATCCCTCGACTCCTCGTCCTCGGTCCCACGTCCTCGACCCCCGCCCCGACCCTCTTGACTCTCGATCCCTCGTTCTCGATCCATCGATCTCGACCCCTCGTCCTCGAACCCTCGATCCCTCGACCCCTGGACTCCTCGTCCTGGAACGCTCGATCCCTCGACCCCTCGTCCTGGAACGCCCGACCCCTCGACCCCTCGTCCTCGGACGCTCGATCCCTCGATCCCTGCCCGGAACCCCGCCGAGCAGGCGCTTCTTCCGGTCGGATTCCTCCACGCGGGAGGCCCCGGCCGAGGCGGGCAGCGCCCACCCGCGTTTGCCCCCCCCCCCCACCCCCCACCCCCACCCCCTCCTTGGCAGCCGCCCGGCGCGCGCCGCGTGTTGGAGGGAAGGAGGGAGTAGGCAGGAGGAGGCTCCCTCCTCTCTCCTCCCGGGGCCTCCTTGCTCCTGCTCCTCCGCCTCCTCCTCCTCCTCCTCCATCCTCCTCCTGCCCTCCTCCCCCTCCTCCTCTCCTCCTCCTCCTCCTCCTCCTCCTCCTCCTCCTCCTCCGCCTCCTTCTCCTCCCCATGCTCCTCCTCATCCATCTCCTCCTCCTCCCTCCCCTCCTGCTCCTCCCCCTCCTCCTCCACCTCCTCCTCCTCCTCCTCCTCCTCCTCCTCCTCCTCTTCCTCCTCCTCCTTCTCCTCCTCCTCCTCCTCCGCCTGCTCCTCCTCATCCACCTCCGTAGCCATTTTGGCTCAAGATGCTTTGTTCCCCAGGGGACCAAACGGATACCGCTAATCCGCGGCTGCTTTCATACTCTCCGCCTGGTTCTCCCCAGGTGTGGAGCCCTGCTACAGTCAGCAGGGCCGTCAGCTCATGGGCCGCCATGCGAGCAGCAAGGGTGCCAGCGGAGCCTGCGGCAAGGGCAAGGACAAGTCGGGCACCTACGTCAGCTGCTCGGCGTGCCGCTACCGCTGGAACTTCAAGTCGAACCATTGGTGCTACCAGTGCTGCTCGCCGATGGTGCCGCACCCGGCTCCCGACGAAGCCCGCGGGCCAGTGGTCGTTCGGCCCGCCCATGCTCGCCTCGAACCCGTTCGACACCTTCGCTGCGGCGGCGCCGCCCGCGGGTGGCCAGGCCAAGGGCCCCCCTGTGCCGCCGAGGGCCGCCAAGGGTGCGCCGAAGGAGCGCCGCCCATGGGTCTGGCACGGGCCAGGCTGGTACCCGTACGGCGGCGGGCCGCCGCCAGAGGACGTGCGTGAGGCCCCGCGGCCCGCCGACCCTCTCGCGTTGCTCCGCGAGCAGCTGGGGGACTGCCACGAGCTCACGGCCCTGTCCGCCAAGCTGGCCGCGAAGGAGCAGCCTGCCGAGGCCCCGCGCCGCCCGCCCCTCTTGGAGGAGGAGGTCTCCGCGAAGGGGATCGCGCGCAGGCGAGCGCAGGCTTGGCTTGAGACCTGTGCGCGCCGCGTCATTGAAGGCGAGGCCTGGCTGGCCGACGCCAAGGAGGCGGAGGGTGCAGCGGCCGAGGCGGCGCGCCAGGCCCAGCAGGACTGGGAGGAGGCGCGCGCCAAGCAGCTGCCATCGCCGTCGAGGCCGCGGTCTGAGACGGCATCCGCTGCTACGGCCATCAACCTCTCGACGCTCGTCGACGAGGGCTCGCTGCGCTTCGTCGATGGCCCCCTCTTCGACCTGGAGGGCCTCGAGGCCGACGAGACGGAGCGCACGGAGTGGGCCCGCATCAAGGGCGAGCTCGCAACCAAGGGCGAGCTCGCCACCAGCGCGCAGACCAAGGTTCAGGAGGCCTTGGGGCCCGCCGCTCAGCAGATCCTCAAGCTCCACGCCAGGTTGCAGGCCAAGAGGCGCCGCGGCCCTGATGGAGCCCCAGCCTCGGGCCCCGCGGAGCATTCGGCTCCTACTGCTGGTGCCTCTTCTGCTGGCGGCAGCGGTGCTGGATCGTCGCGGGGCGGTGGCGAGCGCATCAGTGCTGAGGCCCTGCGAGCTGCGGCCAGGGCTAAGGCCACGGCTGCCATTGACGAGAAGAAGCGGGACACGCAAGGAGTTTAGCGCCTGCGAGTGCGCCGACGCCGCCACGCACGGCGGCTTGCCGCTCCCGCACTACGGGGACATCTTCCCCACGAAGGATGAAGAGCTCGCCTTCTTCCCCGACCTTGAAGGTCTACGGCCGCTACAAGTTCAGAACCTCCCAGAGCGACGACGACTCTGAGTTCGAGGGCAGAGCGGCCCAGTGCAAGGATCAGGACCCTGCCAGGCGGGCAGCCATTCACAATAGACAGCTGCTTGAGAGGCGGCTGAGGTCTTTCACTGGCGCCTGGGTGCCTGACCCCAGCGTCGTTGATGACGCTACTGGCTTGGCCGACTGGAAGCGCGTTTCCATTCCTTACGTTGCCAGCTTCCTGGCAGACCCTGCACTGCAGCCCCTTGTGCAAGAGGCCGCTGATTCAGCAGGGCATGGCAACCTTGCGGTCGCTCAGCTGGACATGGCCAGGCAGATTTGCGAGCGAGCGTGGCACGCCCGCCGTCGCCAGCGGCAAGCTTATCATGATCACCTCAGCAGCCTCCGCGACATCGGCTACGACGACTGGCAGAAAGAGTTGGCTCGCAATGCCCCGAGTTACATCGACGCGCGTCGTGCGCTCGACACCAGGGCCCCACGGAGACGACAGACCACGACAGTTGCGCCGACGGTGGTTTTGCCATTTTGTGGAAGGCCGTTCCTCTCCTCAGCTGCTCAGGCGGAGGCGCCAGATTTCCCGACCTCCTGTGCAGGCGAGGCGCGAGCCCTTGCACTGAGGCCCGCTCGGCCCCGACAGGCGGCCACGGCCCCTGCTGTAGAGTGGATGCCTGGCTGCACTCCGAGTTCTATTGCTTCCTCGTCATCGACACCTGGGGGCCCGAGGATTTCCACGGGTGGGCCGTGTGCGGCTACGTCGGCTTCAACTTCTGGGAGCACTCCGAGTTCGGCGGCCGCTTCGGCCTCGGCACCATTGGGTACGAGGGTTTCCACGCGTGCCTCGGTTACGGCGGCGCCTGCCCCAGCCCCAAGGTGCACCCCGCGCTGGGCCCCTGCCTCGGCCTCGGCCCCCTTCGCTCCGAGGTCGTCTACGGGGGGGCCGTGTGCGGAGGCAGCTGAGGAGGATCTCGCCAATCCCCACTCAGCCCGTTTGTTGTTCGCCAACATCAGCGAGTGGGGCCCGAAGGCTCTGTCATTCATGCGCGGGGCAGGCTCCACGTTCGAGACGGTTCCCCTCGCTGAGACCCACGTCAAGCTCAGCGGCATGGAGGTTGCCCGTTCGGAGCTGCTCAAGGACGGATGGAAGATGGTTGGGACCCCTGCCTCGGCATCAGCGTCCTCATCGTCGGGCTCCAGGGGGGGCGAGTGGATTGCACACAAGAGGCACATTGCCGCCACCTCCTGGGAACGTTTTCGCTCAGCCAAACCGAGAGCTATTGGAGGATGTTGCCCCAGTACCCTGCATCTCAAACGCGGCAACGTGGCGCTGCTGACTGCCCACCTCTTTCCTGGGCCCCAAACTGGTGGCACCAATACCCCTCGCATTCGCTCCATTAGCAGGTTTGTCTGCTCCCTGGCTGATCCATGGATCACTTGTGCTGACTGGAATTTGGAGCCAGACGCACTGACCAAGAGCGGCCTGCTGGAGGTCTGGGACGGGGAGATTGTCACCCCCAGCAGATGCAGTGCGACTTGTACGCTTGGTAGTCGCCCATTGATCGACTACTTGGTGGTCAAGAGGGGCTTTGATGACCACATTCGTGGCAAGGCTTTCACGTTAGTTCCGTGGAAGACCCATGTAGCCTTGGATATCGAGATCGTTTCGGGCCACGCTGAATGGTGGCATCAGGTTTTGGACGCTCCCAGTGAGCCCCCACAGCGACCCAGGCCCAAGAAGGCCTCAGACCCTGGCAGCAAGAGATCATGGCGCCGTGAGGAGGCTCGGGTCCGCAGGCGGGAACGTCGCAGCGCAGATTTGCAGGAGGCTTTCGGCGAGGTCAATCCTCCCGATGACGAGCAACCTGACGATGGTGCCGAGCAGGTACCCTTTCGGTTGGAACCGGATACCTGGGTCAACGCTGCCTCGGAGGTTCGACCTTGAGCCCGAACCATTTCGGACTCGAGGGCCTGGACTTTCCCCTCTGACGCTGATGTGGGCGTGCTGAGGGCTTCCCAGTCTTACCATCGATGGGTATCTACTTTGGAACTGGCCATATGACGCACTGAAGGTGTTAAGTCCGACCAGCAGTCCCAGAACATCGGACGCGGCAACTTGCATGGCCTCACTTGGCGCAAGCTGCAGCCGCCCCCCGGGCGCACTCACATGCGTAACCCTACTATGGAGTTTTGGTGGACGATATCGTCGTTGGTCACACGGTGCACTGCCCTACGCCGACACGACAGGGATCCCGATCAGCAAGGGGCCCTGACCACCTCCACCTCCAGCCTGTTTGACCAGGCCGGGGCCCAGCCGAGGGCCGTCTTGTTCGGACCCAGGGCCACTCACCGGGAGATTCAGGAGTGGTTCGATGCGGCCTGCCTCATTTACGGGCCGCCTCTGGATTTGGACACCCTGGAGCGTTTCGTCGATTTCACGGAGACTTGGTGCTCGCGTTCTTGGGGCAGGGCCTTAGTGTCCTCGGGCGTTGCCTACGTCAAGTGGGCCAGGGACTGCTGGCGTACAAGGCCTTCGGTGGTCCATCGGCACGTCCGCGACCCTCAGCAGCCCGCGGCGCTGGAAGTCCCTGATGGTGGGCCCGAGGGGGCCACTGGCGACCCTGCCAGGCTCATGGAGCACAAGCTGCAGGCGTGGAGGGCGACCTGGACCGACCCGCGCGCGTCCCGCGAGGACCTGTGCAAGGGAATGCAGCTGTTGCTCAAGCATGTTCGGGCCCACCGCATCAGTGACCTGGAGGATGAGGGCATCATGGGAGTTGTCGCCAGGATGGCCCCCAACAAGGCCCGAGGTGTGGACGTCCTCAGCCCCATCGACATTCAGAGGCTGCCGACCGAGGGGCGGCAGCAATTCGGCGACATGCTGCGTGAGGCTGGGCGGGTGGGCTCGTGGCCTGTCCAGCTCTTGCTAGCCGCGGGAGCGACCGTCCCGAAACCGTCAGGAGGTGATCGGGCGATCGGTGTCTCACCGACCTGCATGGGAGTTTGGTCGAGGGCTCGGGCCCCGATCACGGACCAGTGGTCCCAAGACTTCGGTGAGTTTTGGGACACGGCTATCCGAGGCTCCTCGGCTCTTAGAGCGGCCTTGCAGAGGGCCATTTTAGATGAGTCCTCCTTCCGGCTTGGTTTCACCTCGGCCTCCCTCCTCCTTGACCTGGAAAAGTCTTATGACCATGGTAGCATGCTCTTACTGATGCGCGTTTCGATCGATCAGGGACCCCCTCGATCGTCACCCTTTTAGAAGTGCAGATGCGCCTAGCTCCCAGGACCCCTCGGTCCAAGAACATCGCCTCGGATTTAACCTTTCCCACGCGCTCTATTGTAGCAGGCTCAGCGCACGGTGTCAAACTTGCCAAAGTATTCCTGGGTCCGATTCTGTCGGCTGCTCATGCGGCCTCGGGGGTCCGTGCCCTTGTCTCCTCCGCGGGCCTCTGGGCCTTTGTTGATGACGCCGTCGCGCGGGCCGAGGGCACAGAGGAGAGTGTCATCGCTCAGATTTCCACTGTTGGCCAGTCCTTTGCCCGATCGTTTGCCTTGCATCAGTTGCCCGCGTCGCCTAAGACCAAGGTCATTGCATCTTCTCCTAAGGTTGGAAAGCGTATTGTTGCCAACCTGAGGGGAGCAGGCATCCCAGCCCCCTTGGCGGTCCAAGCTGTTGACCCCGGGCGCGACGCGGGAGGCGGGGCTCGTCGGGTGGTGGTTAAGCTCACGGACCGCCAGAGGAAGGCCCGCCCACGTGCACAGCGCAGTCGCCGCTTGCGATGCCACGCCAAGGCGGCGAAAGTTTCTCAGGGGCTCTGGCTTCAGGGAGCGCTCCCCCAGGCCGTTTACGGCCATCAGGCCATGGGTATCTCCCTTTCTTCCATCCTAGCCTTGAGGTGCCAGGCGGCCCACTCGGTTGCCAGTGAAGGTCCAGGCCGTTGCCGTACCACTGTGCTCTCATTATTCTATGCCGAACGAGAGCCCTTCATTGCTATGAGGGCTCAGTGTTTTACACGCGTGGTTTGACATGTGGAGCCGCTTTCCTGAGACGCACGCCCGTATCACCCGCTCGTGGCACCACATTCGGGGCCGACTTGACATCATGGCCGCGAAACGCTGGCGTCGGGTGCGTGGCCCGATCGGGGCTGTCGTCGCCACGTTACTTGATGTTGGTTGGAGGCCTGTGCCCCCTGTCGAGTGGCAAAGACCTGTGGGCGACCAATATGAGGTTTGGCATTTTCCTGATCAGGACGACATTGAGCGTCTCGAGGGTGATTTCGATGTCGCTGAGTTGGTTGATGATGTCAAGGAAGATTTGCATGCTGCGTTGTGGGCCCAGGCCTCGCCCCACCCCCACGGCGACGACCTGGCCGAGGGGGCTGACCTCCAACCCCTGCGCCAGGAGTTCTGGCGCCTTGAGCAGCGTGACCAGTATGAGCAGGTAGGTCTACGCACGGCTGTTGCGTCGGGGGGCAGCGGGCCCACGTCCGTCAACATGAAGCGGGGCATGCGGTTTCCACTACCTGCCCCCGCCGTGGCCTGGCCCCCGAAACTTTTGTTTCTCACCGCGCGTGGGAATGCACCAAGAATTGTAACCCTGAGGCCTTTGAGCTGTCGGACGGCCTTAGTCACCAGGCCCGTCTAGGTCACGAGGCCAATCCAGCCTTGTGGCTCCGTGGCTTTCCTCCCAGATCTTTAACTTGCCCTGCGTTCAAGGACGGGGGGGGGGGGGGGGATGCGTCGTGGGAGGTGGGGTCGCCGCCGTCGTTGGTCGAAGGATCCTCTGTCGATGCGGCCAGGTCCCCCGCGGGGCTCCTGCGGGTCTTTGGAGATGGCTCTGGAGGAGCCTTCAGCTCCGACCCGCGCCGCCGACGCGTCGGCGCTGCTGCTGTCCTGGTGGCTTGGGGCGGCGCCAAGTGGTCCAGACTAAAGGGTTGGGCCTCCACCATTACAGGTCGCCGTCAGACGGTCCCCAGAGCGGAGCTTTTGGCTTTTGAGTTGGCGCACCGCAGTGCCCCAGGGGAGTTTGAGTACGTCACCGACAACCAACCCCTTTTAGAGGGTTGGCGGCGGCGCCGCTTCTGTCACGGTAGTGGTGTGAATTCGGATTTGTGGTTTCGTAGCCGTTTGGCCCTCGAGGGCCGCGAGAACGGGATTTCTGTTTTGTGGGCGCCCTCCCACCTGGATCCCACGGTCCCCTCCTTGTCGGGGGACCAGGTTCTTCTCGCGGCGGGCGATGGAGTGGCTGACGAGTTGGCGGGCCAGGCTGCTCGGGAGTCTTGGGACCTTGCTACTCGTGGTCAGCGCGTGCCCGACACCGACAGATGGGACGCCACGTGCTTTCTCATCCGCCAGTGGGCTGCCCAAGCGTTGGCGGATTCAATCCGCGCGGCCCCGTGGACCGCGGACAGGCCCAGGCTGGGCCGTTCCACTGTCACTAAACTTCAGGCTGCCCTCAGAGGCAGCTCACACTGTCGAATTAAAAC